TAACGCTAATATGATGCGCACTTCCAAGACCGTTTGAATCACAATAAAGCTGACAAAGTAAATCTTTTTTGCTCAGTGTTATTCAACACTGTTTCCACAGAATGCATCCGAAAAATAAAGCTCTAGCGACGAGACAGGGCAATCACGCCGTCGCAAAAGAAGACACACAGAAGAGAGTACGAGTATTTTAGGAGTTCCGAGTCCTTTTGGATCACAAGAAAACAGAAAAAGGCCATATTTTCGGTTTTGCGTTGCTCGAATACTGTTCCTAAACAAGGATTCCAGGGGGAAATGCTCGGACGGTAAAACACGACCTCGTTTGGGCTCACCAGACGTAGTTGGGGTGGAACTCGGGGCATGGTGATTAACATCTGGCGCCTTGATCACTATGCCACTAAGATGCGTAAGCAACCTTAAGTGGTCTTGGTCTCTTATGTAGGTTGGCGTCCAAGTCACTAGTAGGCTATTTTAGTCATTCACTACTCCGTTGAACGGAGCGGTAGTGTAACGGACTTCAAACCACCCGTTTGAACAGCTTCAATTCGTGACGTGTCGAATGACCAATGTTGCAGTTAAGGAACTTACACATACGATTGGTCGACAAATGAACATATGTGATGCCAAAAGATAAAAGATTGGTGGTTCCGTAGACGAGAATGGCTAACGTATAGACAAACTAAGCCATAATTGTAAACTTTGGAGTACACTACGCAGGAGACATGCACGGCAGATGCAGAAATACCCACGTCGAGAAATATATATATATATATATACATATATATATATATATATAATCCTAATGAAGCTAGTTAGCCTGAATATTCCCGTAATCTCCGTTCATATATCAACGGGTATGGAGCTCAATGCGATATCTAATCGTTTTTTTAATGATGAATGAGGAGGTGTACAAATAACTAAGTTTGGAATAGCGTTTCAAGGTCTGCAGACTCGGAGGGAGAAAGAAGTTCGTCGACAATCTGAAAATGATTTGATTTTATGCCAACGCCTCTGAGCTTGATTTTGGGCTGAGTTTTTAGCAAATTGCGGCATACTTCATTGCGGTCGCTTAGTATTTGGGAAACTAATTTGACGTATCAACAGCAGGTAGCGTCCACTGAACACCCCGAGTATCTTCATTCGTTCTTGTTACGGTAGATGGCACAAATCCTTGTCATTTTTCGTTTCTCAATGCTGGGCGGTATCGAGCGTTGTGAGGTCTTGCTTTGGCTAAGTTTGCCAGGCCATGATAGCATATTCGACGTGGGGACGCAAGTAGACATTGAGCATCAGAGAGAAGATGGATGAATCCCAACTTCCGAGTGCTTTCCGCAAGAGACCAACATTCTGGTTACCACTTTTGAAACGTGCGCGGACTTTCTGGAACAACCGAGGTCGTGCAAACCGAGGTCACGTTCCTGAGAGCTTGTCTGCAGATTGTGCGCTTCGAGCTTGTAGATGTAGTCGTGTCGATGTCGGATGTGGACAGGGTGGCACTTACCCACATTGTGAATGGCACTGAGTTCCTCACAAACCAATTCCAGACCTCGTCGAGATCGCGCTGGAGGACTTTGGGGTCGTACAATCCCTTGATGGCTAGCCAAACCTTAAAGTCGTCTGCGAAGAGTAAAAACTTTAAGGTGATCACTCGCTGGATCGTTGATGAGTACTAAGAACAGGAGAGGCCCGATTACCGAATCCTGCGGTACACCGCACTCCACTCGAATTGTGTCTGACAAAGATGTTCGGACTCCAGGCTCCACTTGCCGTTCGCGGAGAAAGTTATCGATCCATCCTAATACTGAGATGTGGTTAAGAACCAAAAGGTATCAACTCTCATCATTTGTGAGGAATTAACCGAGGGCTTAAGTGGATTTGCACTTCCCTGCAATTCTCTCATACATATACTGCATGACATCCAGTTCGTGTGTCTGTTTTCTCTAATCTCATGCCCTTTTTCATCAGATGGGATTGACGATGATGGGAATAAAATATACATGCTCGAAATACTTCTATTTTACTTCTACCTGCAACCCACAGTTCGAAAAGTCCACGAATTCCACCATTTGTTTTTGTAACCATCCCCGCATCCCTTTTCTCTTATTTCTGCCCATACACTCGTGAAATGCATATTGATGCACTGGAGAATTTACTCAATCATTGCATCAGAAATTAGCGTCTGAAAGCTGCCCCTCGTCTCCAGTTAGTCTGGTATTATGTTTTAGGCCAACAACCAACCATTTGGCTGAAACTTTTGACTACTTACTTACTAATAGTCACCGCCTTCCTCGTCCTTTTCGCTGGTCACAGATTTTGTATCGGATTGCGTCGATTGGTTAAAGTCAATTTCTGATTCAGTATTATGATCGCTTTCATCATCATTATCTCTGATTCCAATCTAATCAAACATTTTTCCTGGCAGCATCATTTCTCTAGTTGTATCCTCATAAATTCCCTGAGCCATCATATGCAAAATACTACTGCAAACGGAAATTATCCGAAAAACAAGCATAACTGTTCGCATGATGTACAGCGCACATCAAGTCGAGATTCCCTACGGTATGTTGCCTCTCGTCAATGCCAGTTGGCGGTCCGCCGGGAAGCCGTTACATCACTACTCCTGACACGAACTCGGCGCATAGTGGTGGTGCAAATTACGTGATTACCCCAAAAACGAACTGGACCCCGATTGGCTTACAAACTGCATCAACGCGACTAGTTGAAGGCCAATAGGCGATTTATAATAGCAAGATATTGCCAAGTACTCTAGTGCTAATAATGTCCACGACAGCGCCTCACTTGCGCCCAGTCACCACTTTTTACACTGGTGGTTGAGAATGGATATTTCTACTCCGTATCACAAGAATCCAAACTGCGCTACGCGGAAATGATAAGAGATACCTTCACTAGATTGTTTTGTTCATGTGCTTTGCTGTATGCGTCGAGTAGCACGACGCTTTGAATGTTTCAAAACGGTTATACGTGGTTTTATATGTAATTGGGTACCATAATAGCAGTAGCAATCATAATAGCTATTTTTCCCATCAAACGGTCCACTCTCGCGCTATCTTAGGAATGCTCGTTGGAGAAAATCAATGGAACGATTGCTCTAGTCGTTAGATTGTGCTTGCTAGTGGGGCAATCACTGGCGTTCTATGTTCCATCAGTGGCGGAATTCGTTGAACTCAGGCGCATCGAACTACGACCCTTGTTGACTACAACTGCTGCTTACAACGATGTCTGTGGATTCCGAAGTAGTCTATTTGTATTTTACCAACTGTGGCTGGTTGACGGTCCTCTGCATATGGTCGAACCGGGCCGATTGGCCCTCTCTCCGAGGCGTGTCACGTCCTGGGTGTTTAAACTTGTTGAGCCCCTCTCCGGATATCTCATCGAGCGATTTCTCCGTGTGAAGACAGTCATTGTAGTGTTCAGGTCAATGTAACTTGAGAGCTTGTTACTAAATGTTGCCACATTTTCACAGACCTTTGTGTAATTGACAATTTATTCCACTGTCCATGAAGAAACTGGAGTGCATGCTTGTTCTAGCTTTTGATATAAGCAGTGTATAACCTTTGTTGTTAAGTTCTCATGCTGATCTATTTTTATGTCTCGAATGTAGGTAGGCCGAATAGGTCTTTTTGTTCGGCAGATTGTAAAACAGCATCAAGTGATGCTTCGATCATCTCATCTAGTGGTTCGAATTGAAGTTTGTTGCAGCGCTCTCGATAATTCATGGTAGAGTGCATACCAATCAGGTGTTTAGTAAACCCCCTCTGCAGGTGTTCCAGAGCAATTCTGTCGCTCTTTCTCATGTTACCGGATGCTTTGCTACAATACTCGAGGGTTGAGCTGAGGAGTAGCTTAAAAAGCTCAACTCTAGCATGGGTTGTGATAATGTCATTGTACAGTAGATGATATCGGAGGTGATATACAAGATAACTGTTTGTGGGAACGGATATATTTTTCGTATTTGGCAACATTAGTCTGTGGCCCTGACGATCTGCCAACCAAGTTGGGCGTCAGTCGTCTTATTTCCTGGATTCTAAGGCGGTTGAGGCGACCTCAGTGGGGTTTGCGGGTTAGGTAAACTCGCTACCAACATGTTTTCAAGCACTCTGCCTAATCATTACTCGGCCATGCCTTAACTCCACCCATTCATGGTTGATTCTACCCAAGCAACCTATGTCAAGTACGGCCTCTTGTGGCGACTGAATGTCCTACACAGATGAACTACACTTGACGCTGTTTGCGATTGATTTAGCCGGATCGTTAATGTTCGCTTGACAATCTGTCAATACTACGCTTGGTTGCTGAACAAGACCTGGACGTCCTCCAAAATCCCTACTAACGTTTCGACAGTTTTTAGGTAGCTGGGGGGGGACCAGAATATATTTAGCGCCTCCATTCTCAATTCTGGTGAAGACGATTTCTCTCATCGCCTAAATTCATGAGTCTTCTTACCTAGAACTACTTTCTCGGACCTAGTTCACTTTTTCATCTGCTGCAATATATCATCACTTACTGTTGGACCTCAGCTCACATGCAACCATGAACGGTGCCGCGGTTCCCACACATAGACAGGTAAACAATTGGTGTATTCGCGAGTCTTTCTTTGGTAATCCTGTTTCTAATCCACAAAGCTATTTTACTAAAGTGAGTGCCACTCTGACGCCAAACCTCAATACGGTGAGTCAGTCACTTAGTTCGTCCTCTGATCATTCATCAATTTGGAAGATTCCTTTGGCGAACTCCTTCACTCTAACACACTGTATAACTCATTGGATGAGTGATGCATCGCTTTAAGTCCCTGTCCCTTTACCATCTGTTTGTTTACGTCCAACATTGACAAACACTTCCGCTCAATCATTGTTATCTAATTCTTTCTTTCTTTCGCAGCTTTCAGCCGAATATTTATTGACTGCAGTGACGGGACTCTACACCCGCAATTGGACAGCTTCATGCAGTCCATTGTCAGCTCGCAAAGGATCTCCGCTTCCACTATGGCTCATTCCAGGGCCTCCATCAATTTGTCAGATTGCTTGGAGAGATTTGTAAGCGTGGAAAAGCTGAGTGCCCGGGATTTATGGTACTGCCGTCGCTGCAAAGGCGAGAAGCAAGCTACAAAAAAATTCGATTTATGGTCGTTGCCCAACGTACTGGTCATACAATTGAAACGCTTTCGCTCTACTTTACGCTCAAGAGACAAGATAGACAGTCTCGTCGAATTTCCTCTGAAGTTAGTTATTTGGTTGTGCTTTTCTGGATCACGGCTACAGGGTCGGTCCTTGCATTCTACGCCTGTTTCTGTTCTGTTCTATTGTTTACTTCTTGCTCTTGCTGTTGAATGATCCAACTTCAGTTAGGCTGCTACCCTGTGCAGCAACCCTCGTCAATTTGGCACCTTGCTCCACTTACTCTCTGTTCATCTTTCTCCCACCACTCTCAATCGTTCATCGTCATTACTTTACACACAAAATCGGTGACCATAAGCGTAAGCCATGCGGAAGCTGTTCTGCTCCCTGTGACATCGTTTTCAGGCACCTATGTAACTCCAGTCTTTGGTCTCCTTTCATCTTCCGAACTCACAGCACACATTCGCTTTCTTATCCTTTGGAAAAAGTCATAGCGATTGCAAATCATCCTGCGAAATGGCAGCAGAAGTACTAACCCGCTGCCGAGAACAAAACATTTATTTATTTTCAGTGGTTAATGAGCACATGAGAAAACTCGTCTTCGCAAGTCTGGAGGTATCTGGTGGCCTGGCTGTGTTCATGTATCTGAGCCAGCCTCTGATCATTTTCATTGTGTGCTTGAGCATAGTGAAGCAACCGTCGATGCATTTCACCTTGGCTGAGAGCGTCGTGAGGATTCCGGGGTTGGATGCCCCACTAGATCTCGTTGATCTCGTGCTTGCTGACAGTACGCCAGTTAGTCGTCTGTGGTTACCTTTAGGCTGTGTATTCAATTTTTCGTCACGTGCCTCTCCGCATAAGTGGTTTCCTCTGGTAACCAAAAGATCACTGCGGCTTTGCTATACGATAGCTGCACATAATCAGCCATCCTTCGGGGTGCATCATTCACCTCACCTTATGAATCCATTTTCATTGAATGCTTTTTCCCTCCACGATCCCAGTCCCCGATCGATTTTCACCTAGTCGATCGATGTCCACTTTATTTCTTACCCCTCACGATTAGCTATAGCTCGTTTTACCTCTTGCTTTTGCATCGTTTATAATTCGTGTCACACAGCAAAATCTATGTGTCCACCGCGTGCTTCGAGTTTGCAGCCATTCATGAGCTATTACCGGATTTATTCACATTGTTTCCGCTAGGATTTAACACGTAGACTGAGGAATTACTAATTTATCTCTGACGGCGTTTACGTATGACCATGCCTTCCACTCAATGTTTTTTTCAGGGGACTGGATTTAACTCCTTGGATGGTGAGCAATACCGGTGAACAATTCGTCTACGACCTCATCGCTGTGAGCAACCACATAGGCTATCTCTACGGAGGGCATTACACTGCTTACGCCCTAAACGAGCCTACCAAACGATGGTTCGTATTTGACGATGCTTCTACTCGCGGAATTGATGCTTCGCAAGTTGTGGTACGTCATTCCGTTCGTGATTTTGGACCAATGCTCTCTTTGTTTTCTTGGACCCGTCGTTTGTTGATTGCTGTTTTTAATGTTATCGTTTAATTTGTTGTTTAGGGTTTACGTCACGTTGAATATTACTCAGGGCTTCAATTAAACTGCCTCTCCCTCTCGGACTTCGATACCTTGCAGTGCATTATGTCAAACAAATATTGCTCGAGTGGTTCGTTGTATCATGTTCGGTTAAATCTTACTTTTCTCTGCACCATTAACTCACTACCGCAGCTTAGAACATCTTTTCCTCTTTTCCGTTCATCTGCTTACGTCGCGAACTTGCTGTGCAGTCCTCAGTTTCTTTCTATCCTGTCCTTCACTTCCACGACTGAAATATTTTCCCACTTTCTTCCGCTTGAGTCATTTTGTTGATTTTCCCCTTCCCAAGTCGAGTAGAGGTAAGGCATCTCGAACAAAATTCGACTGTCAGAATGGGCAGTTGGAGAGGATTCTCTTCCTTCTAGGCCAACAAATAGCAACAGTATACCAGAATTGAGGCTCCACGTCCCCACTGCCACACTGATCTACAGAACGAGGAATCATCATCATCATCCATACACGTCGGCCGAGGGTGAAAAACACACCTCAGCTGATGTGCCGCACTACAGGAAATTAAAACACCAAGCAATGTAGACTTAAACGCTGTAAAAAGTAAAATAATTCTGATGTCACCTTTTTCGTGGTTTTTGTGGGGGAAGCTAAAGGGAAGGAAAGGGACAAAGAGACTCAGCATAAACGCCAATGAGGTCGACATTTCGCCACGTCAGCTAGTGTTCATCATCCTTCGGTCCCTAGACAGGAAGTTGGGAAACACCAGCCGACGCCAACTTCGAAGTGAGGGACTTCATTCTTTTTGACCGAGTCACTGCTTGGCCTCCCCTCCACTTCTTCCGTCAACCCCCCGGCGCGCAAACAATGCAGGTCGCGGGAGTCGCTTTGCTGGCGTGCGGAACATGTGGCCCAATCTTCGGAGCCTGGTGCTTGATATGATGGTGCTGAGCGGTTCACTCGCACTTCCTGCACCAAATGCGCGACGCCGAACATGCTTATGTGGTGTTCCCACCATACATGAGATAAGCTGCAAAGGCAGCGATGGTCGAACGTAGCTAGCTTCTTTCTGTCTGTCGACTACAACGGACAGCAACACTGTAAACTCTGCCCTTTAGGGCGCGAGTGATGTCGCGTCTGCGCCACAGGTGTAGATTGGCAAAAGCAACTCGAGCTTTTGCTATAGGATTCGTGACGCCATCTTCGTTCCCACGGGCGCTGATATAGCTGCCCAGGTACTTGAATTCCTTAACGACTTCACGCTTAGGCCCATCAAGGGTCAACGTTGACACAAAGCATAGCCCGAAACGATTGACAGCCAGAACTAATTTTTCGAATGCAGCTTAGCACCTTTGGGAGCTGTCACAGATTAGGGCATTATCGTCCGCATACTCTAAGTCAAGAAATTGCTTACCAGGAAGTAGCTCCATACCTTGCAGGTGTTGTCGAGCGAACGATTTTTCTATGACTTCTGTGTTGTTTGCGGGATGTTGCCACCACCCACTAGCAATCCTACGCAAACAACGATTATCAAAAACTAGCAATTGTTTCATGTCTTGCGAGCGAATAGACCAGGTCCCACAGCCGTACTGGAGGACCGCACGGACGGAGGCAGTTTGAACCCTGCCCTTGAGTTTGAGACTGACATTGCGACCACGGCATAGGTGGGCCTTTGCGATCCGTTGTGAGACCTCATCTCTAACACCGTAGATAAGTGAAAACAGGGACTTGTTCCAGGACATTGCTAACAATAGTGTGGGGGGTACAGGCGTCTGCTACTCCCAGAGTAGTATTCTACATTCGCCTAGGGAATATACAGACCATATTTAGAGGCCTCCATCGCTAAGTGGTTCAAAACGCTTTGCACAGCTTGTGGTCGTCCCCCTTCTGACTATCACCTGGGAGAAGCTCAATACCGCAGTTTTGGACGCCTTCCAATGCTTATTGGATGAGATCTATGTTGGCAAAATTGAAGAGGAAAGGTAAAATAGAGCAAACTGGGAAAATGCGGCTGGTGATGACAAACCAAGAGGTCGGTCTGCCGTAAGTTTTGGCATTGCCCGATGTGTCACTGTAAAGTCCCTTCGGGATGATTACGAACTTGTCGGGCACACTTTCCTTATTAGATAGTCCCTTGAACGCAGATCTATCTATTGAATCAAATGCCACTCGGATGTCTGGGTACACTACGATTGTTGGCCGTCGGTGGACGTGACTGAATTCAAGACGTTGGCGAATTGTGAAGATTTGGTCTATGCAACCTCGGCCTGGACGAAATTCGGCTTGTTCCTCTCAGGAAACGCCTTCTCAAGTCGCTGAAACGCTGTGGAGTAGAACAGACATGAAAATCTTGAACGCGACAGAGACCAACGAAATTCCACGGTAATCGGCGCAATCATCGCTGAAGCCTTTCTTGTGAGTTGGGACAATGCTCGATTGTCCCCATGAGATTGGAACTTTCCTGAACAGTGATAGGATTTCGCTGACAAGATCATTCCTGCCATCTTTGAATAGAGGCGGCGGTTGGTTGTCAGGGCCGGGAACTTTATGCTCTTTGGACCTGAGCTTCGGTGGGACGGGCCAGACACCATTCGAGGTGAACGGAAGTGTCACAGGGTTGTGCTGGGTAGTTAAATTGGAAAGCGAACTGCTCTGTCGGGTGACCCAAGCGCCTGTGCCGTCTGACTCACAACTTGACAGACAGATAACATGTGATTTACGACCATTGCTCCTGATAAGGTATAGTAAACTGCAGAAGTTTCTAGTCGATACAGCGGCTTCCATCCCGGAAACTCATTTTGACCACCAGGATTTGCCCTTAGAGCAAACCTTGATTTCAGTTGTTGGGAGATAGACCGATGGAGTTCATTGTGCTCCTCATCGACGGGCACAGTCCGTCGACGATCTAGCAGCTCCGAGCGTTACCGAGATCCAGCTTTTGGTTGTGCAGCGGGTGAGACCCCATGTGAGCAATCTGGCAGACGGCATGGCTTGTTGCAAATTTGACCAGTGTTGATCGATATCCAGGCAGGGTTGAGAGCGAGATTTTCATGAAGCCTCTTTTTATACTGCATTTCACCTTCGGGTCCTCCAACTTTTATGTGTTCAGTCAGATTTGTTTGACTCTAAGTGAGCCTTGAAACGCGTGCAAACTGTCGCACACATCAATGCATGCTCGGTTTCAACGCAACTTGGCCAAAATGATCCGCAATGGCATACACTGCCGCGCCACTTGCGACTTATTGCTATGTGACCAATTTGTGACCAACGCTTACTTGATGACGGAGCACGCCAGGTTGCATAGTGGCGTCCATAGTGACAAAACATCATACTGGGGAGGAAATGTTAGTGATCAGCACAGAGTGATTGAACACTCTCTCTCCGTTTTCATAGCGAACGGCATCATACCCATGCAGCACCCTGTGATGATGTTCACATGCTAGTGGCCGACTGGTGTGAGAGTTGAAGTCTCCTGCCATAATGATGATAGAACTGGTCCTTGACTGTATTCCAGCTGCAGTCAGTGAGGGCGTAGGCGGAGATCACCAAAGGAGCACACTTGCTAACTGGACGTTTGCTAATCTTACAACAGCCACGGAGTCTGATAGCACAAAGGCGACTGTTGGTTGGAATCCAGTCAAGGAGGGCGGCCTAGGATCTGGCACTGTAGGTGATCCCAACACCAGCTTGCTCAGATGCGGCGGACTCACCGTCACCGGAAAGGTGAAGATAGAAGCGAGTGGGTGGTTGGACATGAGATGACAGCTGGTAGACTGTGTTGTAGTCCTGGAGTATTTTACACAGAATGCAAACCTTAATTGCAAATGTCTCTAAACTGCGTGCAAGCCTAGGTTACTGTCCGACCTGCAGTAATGTGCTCACGTTGAAAATTGCTAGTTTGAGAAGCACTCCAGGTTGCAATAGCAAAGTTGACAGACTTCGGGGCTGGCAACTCCCTGTCGAGGACTGACCGGTGGTAAGAGAGCAACTTCATCTGCGGAGGTAGAGTTGTTCGCCTTTGATGAATCAAGTAACAATGGGGATAAAGGATACATGGGAAGTGTAGGTAACTTTGTGTCATGTGTTTGTGAACTTGGCCTACTAATAGGACACTGGGTCATCATGAGAGCGAAAGAGAGTGAACGTAGTTGTGTGCTTCCATGGTTCATCAGCAGGCGAGATACTACCCGGTTGCTTAGACCGAAGTTCCTGAGTTGTCTTGAGGGACGACCGCCTCGAGCCTTTAGTCAAAGAGCCTAACTTACAAGGGGGCAGGGCGAAATAAGCTTTTCCCACTTGTTGGGAGCCGGTGACCGAACCCTCGGCTCATACATCTTTCGGATGACAAGAAGCCCAACACTTCTGATGTCAAAAGCAGAATTCGATGCTATAATTTCCTGCCGAAGAAGACAAGGAGTCTTGACTTTATTTAGTGGCTAGTCAAATGCGCCACGTCGCAGTGTTGTTAAGCAGATATTTGGGGTTTTTAAATGTAGATCGATTGCAAAGCATAAACCCACCACTTCTTCGAGCACTGGAGCCGAACCACCTGCCGGAACAAGAAATACCCGAACCGTTTGTCTGTCATCACGGGAATTTTGATCGGCAAGCCAGTCATGTCATTTCGTATCAACTCATAGAAGGGCGAATCAAATTAGGCAAAGCCACGATGAACATCGCGCAGCTAAATTTTCACTCATTGTTTCTTATCAGATTTCTTTTCATGTTCCCAGTTTATAGTGATAAGATCAGAATGGTCATCGTAGTGAATGAAACTCAAACAGTTGCTCCGAGAAGACGTTGCTGCCTCCAAGCCATAAGGGCTTTATTTCCACAACTCGTTATACCGGTTGTGACTTCAACATGGGGACCATTGTGCGTTCAGGCCACTCATTATTTGTTTCTATCACCATGAAATTGCCGTTCGTTGTAGGCTACTAGTGATTACTACATCGAGATGATGAAAGTGGAACGATAGTCTGCTTATGATGAGTTTCATGTAA